AGTAGAATCACAGCCAGCACAACGATCAAATGAAATTTACATGAAAAATTAAGTAAAAGTGCTATGGATGTATTCAATGACTCTATTGGTAAATTTACATATGAAGAAAGTCTACGTAATGCAAATAAAAGATCAACAATCATTGATGATATTCTTAGTTATGGAAAGTATTCAGTACTTTAATTTAATTCAAAGCACAAACGAGATACATCATCATCATCAATATTGTTTCGGAAAACATGCGGATAAATTTTTCGATTTTAGGAAAATTAGTTTAAAAAAATGTTAAGATTATCAACGACGTTCGTGTCGAATGAAAATTGTTTTCCATATCTGCTTTTTTTGGTAGACAAGAACGAGCACGCTTAATTAGAAAAAGTCTATCATCAAATGTTTTTCTCAAAGTTAAAATTGACCTCTGAAGGTCATGTGGTTGTTCATTGAAATTTTATATTTTTATTATTGCCTTACGTTTTTTTCTTTCCATGAAGTTTATTAGGTGAAAAAGTGTTTCACTGCATAATTGTTTTTATATTTTATTGCTAGTGATTCTTATTTCTCCCTTTAATGTGTTTTGTTTTTTTCTCACATTTTTATTTAATTTAACTTCCTCATAGATATATTTTTTCAAGGGGTACCTTAGAAAATTGTGTTTCTTCTTCAATCCTTTTTTTAATGGTGTATTTTTTTTTGCGGAAGACTTTTATTTGAACTACTTCATTGATAATATATTTTTTTGGCGGAAGATTTACTGTTTTTCTTCACGTTCTTGAAAATACCACTTTTATTTTGAAGAAACGTTTATTACCAGTTTAGAAATGTTGGTTTCTTTTTATTTTGAGAATATGTGTCGCCATGTTGTATAACATCAAACTTTTAGGAATGAAATTGGAAATGAAAAATTGAAATTATACATCAAGCTGGATATTAAATATCTTCCTCGACTAAAAAAATGCAAACTATCCACATTGTAAAATGTCACATTGATTAAATAAATCACAAAAACTTATGTAGTTGCAACAATGAGAGTTAGTTTACCGACATTCAAAAGAACTTTGAGAAATTCTCGTCTTCTTTAGATAAATCTAGCCGAGTCATATATTCACGATAGAAATTTATAAATTTGTATATAGCTTCGATCCAAATTTGAAGACATACCTCAGATTCTCACTGCAGTCCAAAATGAAGACATTAAATCAGTTTACAATTTTATCAAGTTTAGATTGATGAGTAACTCTGTATCTCTCCTGAATGTTTTGGCAAAAAAGAAGAGGCATCTATTATGTGTCAAAATAATGAAATAAAACCAATATTCGATAGGGAGACTCTAGATTGCAAACGCTATTTATGTATGAAGGATATAGCTATCAGTGAAGTATTTCTGTAAAGTTGTTCTTTTTATTCAAAATCATGGATAGTTCAAATTTATGATATTTTTAGAGAAATTCGATGCACTCAATCTACTATTTTTCATTGAGGATTATAAATAAAAGCAACAAAAGTATATATTCTGATAGAATCTGTGTGTCAGTGTTTCACTGAATGCCGGCATCTGTGTAGGCAGTGTTCGTTGAACATCAGTGCTGCAGTGAACGTCAGTTTGTCTGTGAATTTCAGTGTCAGTTTAGTTCCAGTTTCAGTGACGCCAGTGTTCACTGGACACTTTATTAGTGGTATCAATGATCAATACACTGAAACCTCACATCCTTTTGTGCAGTGTTTAATAATCTATTAATCCTTCGGCTTTTAATTCTGAGTAAGGCGTCTAAATCAAAATATTCTTTTTGATGACTCTATTCAGATCCAAACGGACCAAGAATTTCTTATGCTCATTCAGCTCGACAAGAATATGGTAAAACTTTCAAAATCTATTTCATTACCAGTGCTTCCATGAATTTTTCTATGACGAACGCCGACATCAAACGATGGTTAAATAAAACAAAATGTTTTGTCTATGAAAAATAAGTAGTGGCAATAGATGACAAGGAGCTATAGGATCACCAGTCTGTACGACATTAACCCATATTTACATGATGGAATAGAAATAAACATTCATTGAACATCAATTTTCAAGCAATCAAGCTTATGCATAATCTATGGTTGTTGTTCATTTTATTGTTTGTCAAATATTTCAAAAAACATCATGTTTCTTTACTGATTTTCTTGTAAAAAACTTTGTTTAGGAGCTATATTGCTTCATATTACTAATTGAAAAAAATTAGTTTTTTTCTCATTTTCTTGTAGTGGAAGAAGTACGTTGGACTTCTTATTCTGTTTTCTAGTTAATAACTTTTTTCTTACTTTTTACTAGCCATTATGATTGGAAAAATTAGCAGTTTTTTGTTTTTTTTCTAGCATAAAAGTACAAAAGCTACATTAATGATATTTTTCGATACAAGCCAAGCGTTGTGCACATGTTTTGGTGTATACAACGGAAAAACCTTGAAAGAAGAAAATATTACTCTTGTTGACACTATTTCATACGGTGTGATGCATGAGGAACAGACAAGTAAATATTCTAATCGCTAGTCATGCAGATGTATTTGTTTCTTGCTTTCATTCAAAAAACATTTTGTTCTATTTCTGACTGCTATAGTGATTTTTGTCTAATTAGAATCAGTTGAAAAATCATCAGAATTTTCTACAGTCAATATACTGAAATCTTTCTCGAACATCTCAACATTTCAGTACTTGTAAAAAATAATTATATCGAGTAATGTTAGATTACAAACTCTGTTACAATAGAAGATGATTTTCTTTTAGAATAAACACATTTGATGAATGTGATCAAAGAAAAATGTAAGCCATCGTCATGAAAATCATGCGTGGTATCACTGTGACATGAGAAAAAAACTCATACAAAATATTTTTTTTTGTCCTTCGCTATAAAAATCGAGCGTTCTCGTCAAAAATTGTAATAGTTTCTCTTCACTCATTTCTGAAGGTGCCATGGCGAGATCTGTCTCACTACTGTTCCTGTGTCTTGTTTTAGTGTTATTTTTCTTCATCCAGTCAACTACACAAGATCGATCTGTATCTGATATCAGTGATCTAGGCAAGCAATTTGTTCCTGTCGACAGTTCCCTTCCTCCTCTGCTCACATTTACGACAAAAAAGAAGCTATATTGTTATATGGAGTGTAATAAACGTGTAGATTGTCGGACATTCGACTTTGATGGTAATTCGCGACAATATCGCCTGTGGGACGCTGATATGACAACGGGTTCTATTGTTGCCTCGCCTTCGAAGCCCCAATCATCTGTTGGGACTATTCGATTTTCACTCACCATTTATACCAATAGTTACAATCAATCATGTGACAAATGTGTTCAAAGTCGGTACTTGATATGTAATGTGAATAGCGCTACTTGTCAATGTCCTCTGAAGACGTTCTGGAATGGTTCAATGTGTCTGGCACAACTACTTCAGAATCAGATTTGCTCGGTGGCGGATGCCTGTAGATCAGATCTCAATCTCACTTGTCAACCAAGTTGCGACTTCACCTATCGATGCTCAACTCGTAAGTCATCTGAGTCTTGCATTTATAGTGATAGATAGAGAGAGAGTAGACAAAAGGAGAAAAGAAGAGATTACAACCAAAATAGCATTCGAGGACGATGTATAGAAGCTACAACAGATGCTCAGCCAAGGAACGTCATATGTTATTCCGTTACATTTTTGCATTGAATATAGAGTCATCTGAACTATAATTACGACTATGACATCCATTTTTGACCATGATGAAGTAAAAAGAAAGCTACGAAAAGCTAGATGATTCTCTATCGGTTCGATAACACTAAATCCAACATACTTTTTGGAAAATAGCCTAGTGGCATTCAAAAATGTGGGCTAAAATATTGAAGGTATTAGCGAGAACCTGTGCATACTGCACGCCACCTTTTTTTCTTTAACGTACAACCTCTAAACTTTAACCTTTCACTCGATAACAAACATATAAATACTCGGCATTGTGTACACAGAAATGCTACGGCGTGATATCCTTATATCTCTAGTAGCCTATGTAGCCTTATAACCTTGTATTTCTTGTAGGTCTTGTACCTTTACGTGGTTATAGCCTTACCCTTTGTAGCCTAGCCCTCTTAGAGCATCTCTGCCATATAGCATTTCTCCATTATAGCATTACTTCCTTATCGCCTTACTCCCTTATTGCCGTTCTCCCTCAGAGCTTTATCTCTTTATAATCTTATCCCGTTTGAGCCTCCCTCCTTATAGCCGTACTCCTTATAGGCCTACTCTCTTACTACCTTGTCTCCTTATTGCCTTATAGTCTTATCCCCTTATTGTCTTGCTGCCTTATAGCCTTACCCCTTAATACCCTTAGCCTTTATCGCCTTACTCCCTTACTTCTTTACCCCTATGTAGCCTTACCATCTTATACACTTACTCCCTTATAGCCGCATTTGACCTTTGACCCAGCACAGACACACACTGAACATTATATATATATAGATTTTTAGTTTCGAGCATCTATACACAATTAATGTGTTACTGTCAATGACTTTGAGCTATATAACATCGATCAGTATAAAGTATCTTTCTTCATCATTGCAGCACCAAACATAGGCGTCGGTCAGACAGTAGCCGGCTTTTGTAATGCCACTATCGGTAGTGGTTCAACTGCATTAAGAGGCCCTTGGGGAATTTACGTTTCTCCATTCGACGGAACTTTGTATGTTGGCGACTGGGATGTTAATACATTTCAAGCTTATTCAGCATTCTCGCGCACAGGACGTATAATCCTCTCCAGCGGAATTCTTCAAGCTCTGGATGTTTTCGTTGATCGTTCGGGTACCATTTATATGGCCGATGGTTCATATAGCAATGGTATAGTGTACGTTCAACAAGCGGGAATAATTGTAAGGAGTTTTCCGGCTGTAGGACAATCGACAACTTCTTGCCTTTTAACCGGACTCTACACTGCTTATGGCGTAGCGGTTGATTCATCTGGCAATATCTACATATCACTGTATTATTGTTACATGGTAGTTAAATGGGCGCCGAATGCAACGAGCGGTACACTCGTTGCTGGAGTCCCAGGAGTTCAAGGTTCGACCAGTAATAAATTAGGTCGTCTCCGATTCATTCATTTAGACGAGAATCAAGGTGCAATCTACGTCAGTGACTCTAGCAACAATCGTATCCAAAAGTTCATCATTGGCGGCAATGGAACAGGAGTCACAGTGGCAGGCAATGGTACTGTAGGAACAGGTTTGAATCAGTTGAATGGACCCTCAGGTATTTGGGTTACACGTGATGGCAAAACTATCTATGTTGCTGATAATGGCAACAACCGAGTCATGAAATGGACGATTGGTGTCACTCAAGGATCTGTTGTGGGTGGCAGTATAAGTGGCGTAGCAGGTACCAATCAACTTCTCAATCAACCAGCTGATGTGGCTCTCGATCCAAGTGAAACGTATCTTTATGTTTCAGACTATGGTAACCACAGGGTTCAACGATTTCGTGTCAAATGATTTTTCGTAAATGAACCAGCAGGTTTTATGCAAACGTTCATAAAACAAAATTTCAGATAGACAAAACGAACTTCCATTGAAATAACACTTTCGAATGAGTGTGATTGTGTCGCGTTTTTCGCACTGAATTCACTTGCACTCCATCGAAATGTGTTATTATAAACCTGTCTAGTATCCATTTGAAAATAAAAGATGGGTGGTTGTTTTTCAGAATAACTTCCTAACTGAAATAACTATCGATCTGCGGCTCTCACCATTAGAAAGAAGTTGGTATTCTGCATCTTTCTATATAGTAGTAAATAAAACTAACTCACAAGCCTGCTGAACAGTTAGAAAAATTCAAACAAGCAGGTAAAGTTCTTTGAAAAATGTATAGAATTTCACTTGTAAAAAGTATATTAGATTAACCTAGTCAAGATCTACAATTCTAAACAAATCCGAAAATTTTACTTTGATTTGTTTAAAACTTCTATATCAAAATATTGATGATCACAAATACTCAAAGCAATCCTTTTTGTATACTGTTTTAAGTTTTAGCAATATGATGTGTAACAACAACTTAAGTCAACGCGTACGAACTTGTTACGCGTTACGTCACACTTTGTGCGGATGGGACGTGTGACATAACGCATACATCACACGTACCAAGTATGATATTTTCTTTTTTTTTATTCATTTATTTTTGTGAACTAATAAATAACAAAAAGCATACTTACAAAACCGTTAATATATTTCCTTAAATAAATTGGTATAGCTTTTCATTGAATTTAAGATGTTTTCTATAAGGAAACATCTTATCGAGCAATACGAGCTCAGACTTTACTATTATTTCAAGTTTTTCAATTGTTATAAATTCCATGTTTTTTATTATTTAAATTCTTATTATGATCGTAATTTTTAATTTTTAGATTAAATAATTTCTATTTTATTTTATTTTTTAAGTTTTTCATTATTTTAATTTTATCATATGTGTAATAAATATTGTCTAATTTTTTTGTGTTCGTGTATTTGTTTTTGTTGTTACATGTGTTAAGTTATAAATAAAATAGTAACAGAAATAAATTATTTTTCTATAGTTTATTAGAAAATCAAGTAAAATTAGTACGTATATTTACAATAAAAATCGACTAATAGAGAGATCCGTTACAAACTTTAAATACACTTCACACGCATAACGGTACCTCTATGGCCGTCACGCATACAACGACATATCTCTGGACGTTGAATAGACGAGAAAATAAATACAGACTCATTGTTTTCTTCTTATTTTTTCGACATGACCACGGTAAATATTCTTTTTTTTCCTGAGTATATAGGCAAAATTGAATAGAGGTCAATTATGTATTGACTTGTTTACATCTTAGACCAATGAAGAATGGAATGCATATATAAAGATGAGTGTGTCAGAGAAGTGCACCGTCCGCACCCTAATGGTAAGTATGACTCATATCAGAGCGACCACTCCGCTCGACAAAAAGGCTTTTGGTGGTACGGTGTCCGCCGCCCATGCAGCGTTTTTTAGGTGCGGTGCACATCTCTGGAGTCTGTCATTCTTCACTAAGCTTGTACAAAGATTTTGTTCTCATATCTTCATCGTATAACATGACAGAAAGAAAAGATAGATGAACGACATATATTTTTAATGTGTTCTTTTTATATTTAGTGAAAAAAAAACAAATGAATCATATCAGACGTAATTTTCAATTTCTCACTATTTTAGGATGAAACTGGAATGTATAATCGAATATGACAAATTAATTCAAAACATTATCAAGCTCACTAAAGAAGGTGTTGACGCAAATTATGATATACACAAACAACTACGCCAAGAATACGGCATTTCAACGGAAGCAAATATTGAATAACACCTGAATTTCTTTCTTTGTTATTGTTAAAAAAAATATATCTTGCATGATATACGGATTATATATATTCATTTGAAAATGCGTAATAAAACATTTCTTGTACTGACAGAAGTGGAGAAAGAAAAAAAACTACTGATTTTTTTGAAAGATGCAATATGCTTTGAATTAAAGGAAGTATCAATGTAATTGTCAATTCTTCGAAAAAAGAAATCTTTTTATTCTTATCATGATGTGGGTGGAGTAGGTATTGCAAGAAAAAAGAATATGAAGGTGTTCGTTTCTCATCAAACAGAGATAACGTAGATGATTCAATGACATAATCGTGACTTTGATTTACAAATGTAATATTTCGATGAAAAGAAAAATAATAATCATATATGACTATATAACATATAAATATAGTTATCAGATGTATATGGACTTCATATTTCCTTTCTGCTGATAATTATGGCAAATTATATCTGCTCGAATAATAATTGTCATTCTTACGTTTTTCTTCTTATTATTATTATTGCAGTGGTTTTGGCTGCATTGGTGTTATTTGTTATGTGTATTGCTGCATTAATAAAACGCCAGAATCGCAACCAGTTAAACTATGTATGTAAAGTACAAGAACAATCTCCATGGACACCTTATTCGATTTCAAGTGTTGTAAATTATCCTGCACTAAGTTCATATTCTCAAACTGATCTCAATGAGAAAGTATAACTTGTTTGTTGTTTTTTTTAAATAAATAAATGTCGATATACTTATTTAAAGTAGATATCATTATTTTTTTCCTTGTTTGTGATTATCATTTTCCAGTTGATAGAATCAATTTTAAAATACATTTATGCTAATCATTTGATTGTTTAGATGATCATATCAATGATCTACATCAGATATCTTGATGTAATCTAATATTATTGTTTCCAAAGTCGAGAAAACATTGTCGTAACTAGATAAAAAGTTGTTAACACTCATATTCATACAGAATGTCATTGATCAACCAACGATGAAGACAATATTTACTATTTATTATTGTCCTAGTAAAATAGAACCACTATTATTTGATATATTATCTTCACTTGTGAAAATAAAACTTTCCTATATAATATTATTCCATATAAACGTAGACTTGCATGGCGAATTCAATGAATATAACAGAAAAAAATTAAAAACATAGAGTGAAGAGAATTTGAAATAAAACAATTTTCACAAATGTTCAATGTGCACGATCAGTACATAGGGAAAGTTAATCGAATGAATCAAACATACATTATTCGACACATTTGTAAAAAGAACTTACAAGAAAGTTTTTGATACTCTCATGTCCTTGAGATCATCATAAAATCAGCAATGAATCGCGTTTTTCTGTTTTGATAATTTTGGTTATTGTTAATTTGGTACACAACACAAATAAAAAAAAATGAATTAAGTACACAAAACAATTCTGTTTCTATAGAAAGATCAATGTTTCGATTCTAGTTTTTGTTTGACAAAAGATCATTGCTAAACGTGAATATTTACATATATTTTTTATATTATCGTTAACAATTGTAGTGTTTTCTAACCAGTGTCTGATTTGAGTTGGATTATGAAAAACTTTTTTGTATTTTAAGGTGAATCTGCAGTCTGAACATCTTGCAGATACAAAAGTCATTTGAAGTGTTTTCTCATTTAAAAGTTCTATGGAAGAGAATGTGAAAAAGCTTAGTAGAATAAGAAGCTATATATCACATGATCTTTTCTTCTACTTCGCCTACTTTTCTTTATTGACATTGAACAATGATGCATAGCAAATGTACTGTATGCTCAATGGTGATAATAAAGGTCACAGATTTGTGTTGTCGGAACTGTGGAAACTCAATAAAGTATCAAAAACAAAAAGAAGTCAAGTATATATATCCATTGTTTCTTACTACGAAATGAAAGAAAGAAAACAAGGATTAAGAAATTGATTTTCTCAAGAGAAAGAGAAAAGTTGTTGTCACTAGAGTTTGACTTGGATCAAATCACAAAAATTTGACTCATATCGGACACTGGTTCAAGCGGCCTGATCAATAGCTAGTAATAAAGTAAAAACAAATATGAATCTCACTAATTTATTGTCAATAACTTTTCTCGACAAGAATAATAATAAAATATTATTCCTTAGGACTTTTGAAAAACTGTATTAGGGATTATGTAAAATACTTTGTGTATCATAAATGATCATTTTAGTAGCAATCGTCAATGTGAATATTGATTATATTAACATAATCGAATCTAATAGGAATATTTTCATACTGATTCATTTGAAAATTCATCCATTGTATTTCGCTTTTCGAACAGTAAGTAGGATGCGAATATGAGTGAGTCTGCACCTTTTCCTAACACTCATCCATTCACAGTCATAGTCATATCCTTATGAATTTTCACCATTTTTTTGTATCCTCCTAATAATAATATCAATCCATAGGACAATTGCTTTACACTGATTTCACTACTCTTGAATATTGTATTAATTGTTTGAAATCATCATTGAAAAGCTGTTGAGTGTGTTGAATGCTTTGAAGATGGTGTACTAACATTCAGTTGAACCATTTTATGTTCAAATCTAACATTTTCATATTAAGACAGATATATAAAAATCCACATCTTTCGGTCGTGTTTGATTATAAACCACACTCATCCTCTACTCGTATTCAATGTTAAAAATAAAATTTATGAATATTGCATTGATGATAATGACGAAGCGGATGACATGTTCACTGTTGTCATCATATCGATTTAATTACTTACATTAACAACAAATGACTATAAAACAATGAAAATGATGAAATCGATCACTGTGCTAACAGCCAATAACGATTGCAAACAATAAAGTATTTTACGTGCATCTCTTATATTCTAAGTATTTGTCTTCGATGTTTTCCTTTTTGTGTTCCTTACCAATGTAAGCAAATACTGACAGTTTTATCCCATTGAAATCATATAGAAATTTATGATTAATAGCAATTGAATTGTATGCACTCGTTAGAGATGTATGTAATGAAGTTCCGTTCCAATTAGATGTCGACCTCAATATTTATTCGTAGATAATCGGAAAATGTCTTAAGTTATCATGTTCAAACTTAATTAGTAAACGAATATCACTTTTTTTTCATCTTTTGTTTTAATATGTATTAGATGAAAGATTTTTCTGTCAGCATTAATAGAACATCTAACTTTAATTTTAGATCTCACTTCTAGGTTCATTGACTAAAACTAAAACAGATCATGTATATCTCTAAATTCTTATCAAAAATTCAGATGATATAACAATGAGAATAGTTGAAAAATAATTTTTTTTTCAATCTTAGTGATCAAGTGTCTTTCTTTTATTATATTGATAAAACAACGAATGTAATACAATGCGAATAAATAATAACAAGATAAGAATCATTTTCTATTCGAAACAAGTTTCATTTTCATTTTGAAAGATGGCACAAAAGTACTTCTTATTAATATTATTCGTATGTGTACTATTGTTATTAATTAAAGATGTACATACTCAACAACCAGATGTTACCGTTCGAATCAGTAATATGACTCAATCAATGACACAAGATGCAATACGTATTACTAAAGAAGCATTTATTAAATTTAATGGTTATACAGTAAAATCTCGTTCATCAATTGCTAAATATATTCATTATCAATTCGATCATTTACATAAGCCATCATGGCAATGTATCATTGGAAGAGATTTTGCACTGTCTATTGCTTCGGAAAATGAAAAACGTATTATACTCGATGTTGGTAAAATTACTGTACTCATTTTTAAAGGAAAATGTTAATTTACTGTATCTTGATTTTCCAATACAAATAAAAATAATAATAATAATTAATTTTAAGGGAATTTTTACTGAAAAAAAAAACAAAACAAAACACACACACACACACAAAGGCAAATACAATGAGAAAGAAAAAAAAAAGTAAATCAAAGCTGACCAGCAGCATACATGTCTTTATATACATATACAAGAATACTCTTTCATAGTTGCCAAACTATCACATGAGAAAGAGCATCATCTTTACCCAATGTTTCATCATTATTTGTATAATCTTCAAAACCATCTCCAATACTAAGTACAATTGTTTTAACACTTGTTGCTTCTTCTGATGTTGAAACAAGAGTTGTATCAGTTGATATTATAAATCGAACAGGTCCAGCATGACCAAATGATAAACCTTTTAATTGAAGTGAACTTGCTGTTAATTTATTATTTCCGGAATCAATTAATTGTGGTACTGTTATAGTTATAATAACACCAGCACTTGTTCCAACCCATAATGTTTCTTTACATACATGAAGTGCACTTACACGTAAACAACCTAATTTATGAGCTCGAATTATATCATCACATACTAAAAATAAAAAACAAGTAATTCATTTGATAATTTGTTTTTTTGTGAAATAAATTTAACCTTGTAGTTTTTGTGTAACTGCTGTTCTTATACTTATTTCAAGTAAACAAACAAAATGTGTTGCGTGATATAAACGAATTTCATGTGAACCTTGTGATGCTATCCATACATGATGCATTGATGAGCCACCTGTGGCTATACTACATACATGACGATGACAATCATCAACAAGAAATGAATGCTAAAATATTTTTTTTTTTGGTAAATTTGTTTTTAAAGAATAAAAAAAAAGAAAATTTTACTTCAACATTTAATGAATTTGGACAAACAACATAGATTCGATCTCGTATGGCACACCATAATCTTCCAGCAGCTAATGCCATTACAGATATTGGATCAGTATTATCTCCATCATCGATTTCACCGTGTCCATTACCATGTCGAATAGAACTTTCTTCAACTGATCGAATTGTTGGACAATCTAATTCCCAACGACCACCTAAAATTAAAAAAAGAGACAAGTTTTTTTTTT